ACTAGCAGAAGGTGAGAGGTCAGCTTTACGCCCTGGCCGCTTTACTCCCAGGATGTGCTTATCTAATTAAGCACTATTCCATGAAGATGTAAGGAGGAGTGAATATATAGACCCACATATTCTAAACCTCAAATCTAGCAGGAGGTGAGGGGTCAGCTTTATGCCCTGGCTACAGGAACAAACACACTGCATCTGCAATAGTAAAGACAACACCACACGCTAGGGATCCTGTAAATTACAGATGGCAGTCATAACTGAAAAGTAGGCTACAAACGTGAGGGGAAAGCTACTGAAAAAACACCCTGGACATACATACATTTATGAAAAATAGATGACACCCCCTGTGATGTGAAATAAAAGAAAATGCCCCAAAATAACGTGGGTATAATAGAAACTTTGAAGGGTTTTATTTGGTTTTACCTTGAAAAGAGAACTACAGCCTGTGATTTTAACATGGACTAAGACAGTGTAGCAGTTTTAACATAATTTAATAAAATACAGTATGCACCAAAAATTCAGTACTAAAACTTGTGCATCTTGAAAGCGCATGTGTGTTTGTCGATGGGCCATAGCTCCAGCAGCACGTGTTCCCAGTAGTGAAAAGGAAGTTGTGTTGTGCAGTTGGTTTTGGAAATGGGTCTCTCAGCAGAGGAAAAGGTATTCATAGTTGAGTATTATTTCCGCTCATAAGGAAGTGGTTGCCAGACATCTCGCTTCCTTGGTTTTGAGCGGCCAGATGTTATCGTTCACAAACCACTACCTAGTACACGTGTGATGATATGGCATGCCGTCTCAGCACACGGTATATTAGGCCCCTATTTCATTGAGGATGAGGAAGGCAATGCTCTTACCGTCGCCCAAGAATGCTACAGGGAGATGGTGATCAGACCATTTCTTCAGGATTTGAGAAGGTACTGTCGTGCAAGGGGCCTTCACATGAATAGACAGTGGTATCAACAGGATGTCGTTCCATTTCAGTACTGAATGTTTTGGCACATACTGTATTGTAACATATCAAGACACCTGAAGATGGCTGTTTGGGGCAGAAATGTGTAGTGTAAATGTGTATAATGTTAAACTAAAATTAAAAGTAAGTAGTGAATAAACAATATAATAAAATAATAAACAAGTTAAACAATTGCTACAGGAAGCTGAAATACAGAATTATAGTATACTAATTTGATAGTACACAGAATCTTAAAAGAGTTAATATGAAAAGAGGCTTTTCATGCAACACTTAGTCATCACCAAAATCAGATGGCAAGTCTTTTCCTGATACAGTTGCTCCTCAAGAAAAACTTGCAAAATATTTATTTATCACAATGAAAAATGATTTGAACAAAAGTTATAGAGAAATTTTGTGCCCAGTACAAATTTTCCTCGAGTTTTACAGTTTTCATATTAATTAACCTTTACTGTATGTGCACTGCAAAGATATTGCTGTTTTCATTATTAATTGTATATTTAGGTTCATATTGTGAACTTTAGCATTGTGTCTGGTGTTTTCATTTTGTTGTTTATAGTGGTTTAATTTAATTCAGGATTGTTATAAGAAGAAAAAAAGATAAAGTTATTCCCATACTTAATTACATAATTACGCACTATACCATGAACGCATATGTGGGAGTGGAGGTACATATGAGTACAGCTCCACCATCCCTGATGTCCGATGTCAAATTGTTGCAGTGAGTGGTCAGTTTCATGCTGCTGCCTCTTTACCCCATGAATAGAGCCCCTGGTACCCTTTGGACAGGAGGGTGTGTGGGTCCCAGAGACAAGGAGAGAAAAGTATCTTTCCCCTTTGGGGAATCAGACCCAAGTTATCAAGCCCATAGTCTGGTCAGTATGCCAAGTAAGCTGTCTCTGATCCTTAGAACTTTATTAAGTATGTATTTAAGGCTCAAACACTCAAATGCCAACATATACAAACAGAGCTAGCTGAGGTGGGTTAGTCTTACAGTCATTTGTAGTGCGGTAGATGCTCTGATTAAATCAGAACGTCACTGAATGCCACAGACAAATCGGTAGCAGTTATTCTTCATATTCTAGGGGCCCAGGTTCAAATCTTGGTCTTGAGATCAGCTATCCTCTGTGATGACTTTTAACAGTTTTCCTTAATCCCATCCAGGCAGCTGGCAGGATAATAGTACCACAAATCAGGCCACGACTGTTTCTTTCCACATCATTTCCAATTCAGTATCCACTGATCATCTTACCATTCAACACTCTATAGCAGATGTGGCCAAACTGCACATGGCCCTTTGGAACCATAAGTGTTGCTTGTGGAAAAGATTTTAGTCAGTCCTTTTTTGCAAATGAGTTACATATGAAGCATTTGCTGTGTGGAAAGAACATCTTTGCTATCCAGTCTACATCTGTTTGCAGCTCAGTTCAGTGAGTTTGCTCACCTCCACTATACAGTGTGAGCTACTGACAGCATAATTAAGTAACCCATAAAACAGACCTGTAATACTAACTATTATAAAAATATAAAACCACAACTTTGCCACTCAGCTGTGGAAAGCAGTGACATGATTGTTGTGTTCCATGTTCTTTTGTTCATAGATCGAATGATAAATGGGGGTACCATTTTGACTTCCGAGGCCTCTGCAAATTAGCGAGCAGGGCGTGCAGGTCGCGTTGCAGCGGGAAAGTGTTTCTGTCTTTATACAGGCTGGGCATACAAACACGAATTAGAAGATAACGTGGTGCCAGAGATTCAGCGTACTGACTTGGGCAATGCTGTTTTGACATTAAAGGCTCTAGCAATTTGTGACCTTGTACATTTGACTTTTTGGATTCTCCACCTCCTGAGACACTGGTGAGAAAATTGTTCTAACACTGATTTATTAACAGATTGGTGAGAATGGGATGTGGATGGCGTATACATCCTTACAGGTGTAATTTTCTTTGCTATATGTTAGTTTGAAGGAAACTGACCACAATAATGTGACGTGTTGCGCTATGGATGACGCCCCACCCTCCCCGCCAGCTTTGACATGCCGAGCGGAGCCAAAGTGAGCCGAGTCCAGGCACTCTGGCTGCTAGGCAAAGTGAGTAAACACTGGTTGCTAGGCAATGCCAGTAAATGCTGGTTGCTAAGCAAAGCGAGTAAACAGTGGTTGCTAGAGACGATGGTAATAACATCGGTACCCATTACGTAACAGGCAAACACTGCGACTATATAAGGGAACTACACAGCCGCCGAAGACAGTTGGAAGTTAGTGTGTGATAAGGAGTGACACAGTCGAAGGATAGCAGCAGTCGCGGAAAGAAGAACCGGAAGCGTGTGATAATCAGTGATAGTTTGTGATAGCTGAGAAGTAATTGGGAGTGTGTAACACAGTGACACATATAGCTCCTGTACTGTGAATACATGTAGACTACTGAAGACAGAGTGAAGAGATTGTTGCAAATAGGGTTATAAAGTGTGAAACCCCACAACAGTGTTAAATAACAGGTTGTTAAATAAACCAATTAACAATCCGAACGGCGTCTTCAGTAACAAAACATGCTCCAATATTTCTGGTCTAACCTATGATGTAAGTCTCAGGAAGGTAAACTGTTACTCTGCTTATGAGTTATACTATACTGAGGCGACAGGAGGAGGTCTCATGTTTGGCGGAGATGACGCTGCTTGAAGCGTCCCAATATCTTCCTGCTGTTCAGTTCCTCTCCATCTCCGCAGCTGCTTGTTTTGTCTTTCTTCTTTTATGTGAGTACTTTACAACAGTCAGTAACTTGACTGTATAGCATGGAATGGTAGGATGACTGGTGAATGATGAATTGGAAAGGACGTGGAAAGAAGCAGCCTGGCCTCAGATGAGGTACTCTCTCAGCATGTGTGTGGAAGGACTGAAGAAAACCATGAAAAACCTGTCAGGATAGGTGGTGTCATGGACGAGATTTCAATTGAGCTCCTTGTGAATACAGTCTACAGCATTAGCAATGTGCGAACCCATTCGATTCCAATACACTTGTCATTAGTGAAGTTATCCCTTCAAACTTTGCAGTGAACAAAATGGCTAGAAGACTGGAGGTGAGCATGTGAAGTATGCTGCTGGGGGGTGAAGCATAAGAGCTAAAGGGATGTGCGTAGGGCGGTCAAGCTATGGGACTTCTTTCTTTCCCTGGTCCCAGTATAACAAATATCTTACCATCTGATAGTTTCAGGATAGGAAGAAAATACACCATTTCCTGGCTTTTCACAGGGTTCCGGGAAAGACTCTAAATAAGGCCGCTATCAGCTGAAGGCAAGATGTTACTTTATGATTTCACAGAGTAAAACCTTGGACAGCAGCTTGTGTTTTATACCCCTCATACACAGTATTACAGAAGTAGAGCTCAGACCATAATGAAGACCAAATAAATCATTTGCAGTTTCTGTGTTGAGAGTGTAGGAATGTTGTAATATTGAGATATAAACACTTTGTGAACACTGGGTGATATAAAATTATAAAGTTTGAATATGCATCTTTAACATGACTGTAATAGAAAAATAATTTTTAACCTTTATTGGTTGGGAGGAAGGGATTTCAAATCTCCCGAAGCTGTAAGGCAAGTAGCCATATTTTAGTAGTGGTAATGATATTTGTAAACAGACACTGCACCGCTCAGCTAGCTGGATTGCATGCATCTCTGCGGTAATGCAGCATTCAGCTTGTACAGGTCAGTCTGGCAAAAGGGAACTGAATTACAATTTATACCACATACTGTGGAGTGTGTTATTTTCCCCAAAATGTTCTGCGTTATGGCAGGTATTGGCATTAGAGCAGTTACATGCACTTGGGCCACTCAACCATCATGGAGAACTAACAAAACTGGGCCGTCGAATGGCTGAATTTCCCATTCATCCCATGATGGCAAAAATGATCCTTGCATCAGAAAAGTAAGTTACTTGATATGCCGGCATGCAGTTAACAGTCCTAATTTGAGCAAGATGGAGGCCGCTAATACTTCAAAGGAATGTGGCTCTGATAACTTTCGGTATAATTGTGAAGAATCATATTCTGGCCACTGTCTGAAGTGTATATATTTAGAAGAACAATTTCAAGAGACGCTGTCTGAGTTAAATTCACTGAAATTGGCAATCAAACTTTTTTATAGTGAAATAAATATGACTCATACTGGAAATGAGGTTAGATTTAATCCTGGTATAACTTCTGATGAAACATCATCCCCTACATGGTGTAATGTTAATACTAAGCATACTAAATCAGACAATAAACCAAGAAGGTTTGAGAGTTTACAATCTATTGAACCTGTAGCAACTGTTAATAGATTTGCACCATTATCAAATCTTCCAGACAATATACCAAAAAGTGATAAAATAGTGACATGTGATGTTAGAAGATTGGATTCGACTACCCCTAAAGCTAAAAAGATAAGGAAACTTGATCAATGTTTTATTTATAAACGACATGAAAGTCAGTGTAATCAGCATTGCCCTTGCCAGGCGGTGACAGCTACCAACATGGAGGCTGGAAGTGTGAACTATCAGAGAAGTGGTATCAAATATTATCAAATACAGACTATCATCAATGGGTATATAAACCCTCCACAAATGAGTGTCCCTAGTAAACCTCTGATAGGGGATAGTAACGAAAAATTTAGTAAAATAAAGAGGGAACATAAAGTTTTAATTTATGGTGACAGTCATGCACGGGGTCTATCTGCAAGGTTAAAAAATAAATTACCAGATGCATTTGAGGTTACAGGTTATACTAAACCAAATTGTGGCTTACAGACTTTACTTTCTACTACAAACCAAGAGATTGTAAGCTTAAGCAATAACGATGTACTTGTTATTGTAGGAGGTATAAATGACTTGAACAGTGATAATTCTTCAAGGGTTCTATGGCATATTTCTCAATTTGTTAAGCAAAATTCGCAGACAAATATTATATTATTAACAGCAGCCCATCGTTATGATCAGTCAGTAAATATATATATATAAACGAGGAAATTATAAAATTTAACAAGAAATTATGGAAGTATGTGAAACTTAATAAGCATGTTAGTATCTTGAAAACTTCACAAGATAGAGATTATTTCACTAGGCATGGCTTACACCTTAATAGGCAAGGTAAAGAAATTATCTGTAGTCAACTTGCTTCAAGTATCGGGGAATTGTTTCAGCATATTCAGGTTTTGCTGGGGAAACAATCAAACTATTACATTGGAGATGGAGTCTCCCATAGCTTGTAATGATCTTAATAACATTCTGTTAAATGATGAGGGACATGATGGTACAAAGGGAAGGAACACAATGTATGTAGAATATCCAAGAGACAAAAAAAGGTACCCGTGATTAGAACAGATGATTTTTTATGGAAAATCTAAATATAAACATAAACAGAAAGGCAAATAACGAATGTGTTACGACCGATCACAAGGTACCTTTTATGGTATATCATCAAAATATTAGATCAATTAGTGGTAAAATTGATGAGTTACTAAGTTTTCTGGCAAATGAATATCCACATATTCTTTGTCTTATGGAGCATCATTTACATGAAATGGAAATCAATAAGCTATGTTGTAGTCCTTATACGCCAGTAGCTAAGTACTGCAGAAGCAAATCTAAGTTTGGAGGAGTATGTATATACGGGTATGAATCACTATCCTTTACATCTATTGATATCGATTAGTGACGGTACCTATTATAAAATGATCAATTTTATGGACATTATTCACTATCTTAATTTTCATCTGAAACGACACTTCAGAGATTGGATCTGCATCCTCATCTACCAAAACCAATCAACAGAGCCAGCCCCTATCTCCACAGATAGATGGCTGTAACTTTCGGATATCATTTATCTACTATAAGAATGAAAAAGTTCACGCTTTTAATTCTATGGATAAACTGTATTCAGAAATAATGCCTCATTTTAGTTTGGTTCTAAAGTAAGAGTACACTCAATGTCTGTCTGCTGTATGTTTAGCCCTCATTAAATCACTATAAATACAAAGAACAAATTTCGAG